CGAAGGTTTGTTTTTTTCTCATGCCTCCACAAACTAAAACGAGGGAAACACAATATACAAACAACGGCAACTGAAGAAGAAGAAAGGAAATTTTTTTTTTTTAAAACGTTACAAAAAATAGTTGCAGCATCGTTACGCTGAATCACAATGGCGAGGGGTGTATACGCGTCACCACAACAAACCAACTCCGCAGCCCCATACATACACACGTGCACATGTATACATCCGAGAGCACGCAGCAGCTAAGGGTGTGGAAGGTGAGGAGATGGGGGTTCAGAACGGTGATTGCCCCAAGCAGAATTGAGACAGAACGGAAAGAGGACTAACGGGGATCTATGAAAGTTTGAAAAAGATATTCGGACGGATTTATTCCATTCCGTGTCTTTATCTCCTTGTCACACAAACAGACATGTCTCTATGTACCAGCAGGGTATACGCATATACTTTTATTTATATATTTATATATTTATATTTATGTATATATATATATATCTGCATCTGCACACGCACACACAGACATATATATATATATATATATGTTCTCTCGTTCCCATCTCTATCTTTCTCTCCATGTCCCAAGTAGGAAAGAGAGATTGGTGCCACGCTGAGGGCCCCGACTACAGGGACGAAAACGACAGACAGTTATACTTGATTCTTTTTTCTTTCGTGGCGCCTTGTGTACGTGTGCTTTGTTTGTTTGTTTGTTTGAAGGGTGTATTGCGAGGCATTTCACTTGTTTGCGGAGTGAGGTGGTAGGATGTCACAAATGACGAACACGTCAACGGAAAATATTTCGACATCGCTGTCGACGTCCGGTGGTGTTACCGCATCGCTGTCACGAGTTGTGGAGCGTACTGTGTCGATGACCATCGCGTTAACCAACAGCAGCGAGGACGAGACGACGAGGCCGATGCACGCCGGGTACAAAGACGGGAGCAGCTGCAAGGGACTGCACGGCAAGGCGCGCAAGGAGTGCGTCGCAGCGCTCAAACCCGACGTCAACAAGACGCTGCGGGAAGGGACGCGGACGGCACTGGCCGGACTGTTCGGCCAAGACGGGCCCCCGTCGTGGTTACCGTTTGCCGCGTGGTTCACGGGCCTGCTTCTCATTTCGCTGGTGACCGCGCTGATGGTATGTCTCTATCTACGGTCGAAGCGTCCGTCGCGTGGTGAGTATGCGGAGATTCCGGATGAGACTGACATGGTGGCGGTGGCGGTTGACAATGCTCCTGCGGCAGCGAGCTCTGAGGGGAACTTGTCGCGGCAGCGTTTTTTGGAGTCGCGCCGGGCGGCAGCGCAGAAGTCCTATGGCACAGAGAGCGCCACGCAGTAACGGGTAGATGATGGAGGCAGGATTTAAAAAAAAAAATCCATTCGAAGTGTTATGAACGGTCTACTTAAGGAGATATGATGTTGCAATGACAGAAGAAAGCAACAATGACATCAACAGCGACAACAATAATAACAGCAGCAGAATGAGCGTGGGCAGCAAGAGTACTTCCCAATGATGAAGAATATGAATCCAAAGTAGGAGGTGGGTAATGATGGGGGTAAACTGTGCGTGAGGTCTTTCTCCTTCGGGACACACTAAACCGTGCAGCTGCCAGTGTCGTACTAGAGTGCATTGTGTGGCGCTGATCAAGATGGTATTTCTCTTTTGGTTGTTTTTGTTGTTGCTGTTTGCTATTTTCCTTTTTCTATCCCTCTTTCTTGCTCGCTCGCTTGTTTTTGAAGTCATTTCGTAATATCAGAGTGAGGCAATTTAACTAAATAATTGGCTTGCCAATCAGCCGGCCACAACTTCATACACGAATACAACTAGGTCCCTGTGCACAAGCATGTTAAGGGTTCTTCTTCTGGTGCTGGCGCTGGTGCTGGTGCTGCAGGCCCACGCCTTTGTACACCCCGTCTCGGCGAGCAACAGCTACACAACGGCGGGGCTCCCGCGCGACGATGTAAAGGACCCGACATGGGACTACACCGACCTCTCCACGTGGCCAGAGACGTGCCGGAAGGGGTCGCGCCAGAGCCCCATTTCCTTCTCCGAGCTCGCGCCAAACGAGGTGGTGTACCGCAAGGACCTTGGTCCACTGGAGTTTTCAGAGGGCTGCGCCTTCACCGCCGAGAAGGTGTCACTCAAGATTGAAAACGATGTGAACACAATATCTGTGCGCCTCATTTCGCTCGACGACCCATACAACGAGGCTCCGAGCCCGTGCACCATGCGTGACCCGACTAACCCGGATTCGCCACTCTTCCACTTCGTGTCAATGCACCTCCATTCGCCGGCGGAGCACGTCTTCCCGCGCACAATGCCGAACGCGGAGCTTCACATTTTGTTTGTGAACACGAAGGGATCAAATAAGGCGCAACGCATGGTGGTTGCGGTGCAACTTGTTGCATCAAACAAGCTAAACACCACCTCTGTGCGCGCCCTCCGTCACATCCTGGTGGAGGGCTCGCTCCCACCGAAGCATGCCATCACAACGTGCACACTCACTGAGGACATCGCGATTCCAAAGTTGTTGCCGCGGCGGGGGAGCTACCTCGCCTATGACGGATCGCTGACAACGCCGCCATGCACAGAAGGGGTGCGTTTCATTGTTATGACCTCCCCTCAGATCATATCGAGACTGGCGCTGGGACGACTTGTCGAGGCATTCAATAAGTCCCGTCAGGGTAATTTCTACGGCAACAGACGACCAACGCAGCCCCTAAACGGGCGAGCGGTTTACCGTTTCGTTGATGTAAAGCACAACAAGACGGTCAAGTCTAAAGGGGACATGGATGACTATTACCAGAGTGACCATCATAGTGAGGATGTATGGGGAAACGACGAGGTGGTAAAAAACCACTCTGTCATAACAGAAACTAAACCAACGCAGAGCCTCAATATATCTCAAACAAATGCCACACATATTTCGTGGGGACATGCCGGTGGATGGCCGCGTCCGTTCAAGCTAAGGGAGGCGTTTGTGTTCACGTGCGCCGCCGCGGTGCTCCTCATTGTGACGATTCTGTTGTACCGGAGGTGGAGTGGAGCTACTTCGTTGAGGGAAAGCGGGATTGAGGAGGAGCCGCTGGCGCACGTCTCTGGGGGATATGGAACAGCTGAATATTGAGCTTGTTTTTTGTTGTTTTTTTGTCAGCGTATTCCCCACGATTTGAGGTACGTGTGGCGTGTGGTTTGTGAAACCGTTCGTATCTCGCGGGCGTGGTTGTGTGGCCTTCGAGTGTTACCCCCACAAGAAGCGGACCAGATGAAGTAGGATGCGTAGAACCAATGTGTTCGATCGTTGTTTATTTATTTTTTTTTTGGGGTCTGTACACATGTTTGCGCAGCACGTCGTTGGGGTTGTGTTTTGATCTCGCCTGATTCTTCTTTTTGTTGTTGGTGTTGTCCTTCATGTCGTTTGTGCGCTGGGGCGTGGGGTAGTAGAGAGAGAGAGAGAGCGCGCACACACACACACGCACGTACACGCACCCATAACTCACACAGGTGAGCAGAGATATTCGCGGTGCCTTGAGTCGCAGAAGGGCCTTCACCCCAGCATGGCGTCGCCGCATCTTTTCGCCTTTTGCAAGGACGCCGTGTGCGTCGCAGAGGACGCTAGCGTTGCGTTTTATGCACCGAAGAACCTCAAGAAGTTCCGCGTGGAAAGGCTCAGCGGGGGACGCGTCGTTGGCCTGTATGCCGTCGAGACGGCGAGCGGTGACGTGCACCTTCACGTCGTTGACGCAGAGGCCAACTGGTTTCAGCTTTCCCTCGACAACGTGAAGCTACTGGCGTCGTCCTCAATAAAGCTGGGCAACGAAGCCCCGGCTGCTGCGGGTGACAAGCCCGTGGTGTCGGCTCGTCGGGGCGTGACCGGGAAGAAGAAGTCGCTAAAAGAGCAGGGTATTCTGGAGGCCCACTTCCACGAGGCAGGCGGGGAGCTGCACTGCATCTTCCTCATGCCGTCTGGCGTCTACGAGGTGTCACTGCGGGACACGGCAATCCTGCAGGCGAAGCTGATAATCTCCATCCCCGAAACGCTGCGTGACTGCACCATGGCTACAGGTAGGTCGACCGGTCTCGTCCTCGTCGGCCAGCGCGGTGAAAAGTGGGCGCAGTACTCTCTGTATGGCGAGCGTGATGCCCACAAACCCCGACAACTCTCCTTGCCTATTAACATACAAAGCGTGGCGTGTAGCACCGTTGCAAATTGTGTGGCTGTGGGCGGCACGCGCGGCGAATTGGTAGTCTATCCTTCCATCACAGACAACCACCACTTTGCAGATCATTGGCATCACACCCCACTGATCGCACTAAGTTTCTCCGTGGATGGTAACTCCCTCTACTCAGGTGCTCATGAAGCGGTCATGCTAGTGTGGAACATGTCCTCCTACACCTATAAAAAGATAGGATGCAGTTTGGGACCTATTCGTTGTATTGTACCCTCGCGATCCAATGGATCACAACTTCTCATGGCTTGCGCAGAGTCCACGCTCGCCGCACTCGACCTCCTGCAGATGCGTGTGGAGAAGTCTATTGAAGGTGTGCAGTGGTCTACCGGTGAGGCGTGCAGTGGGTTGGTTGTGGGACGCTGGATGGGTCAACCTGCGGTAATTCTAACGGGTTTACCAAACGTGGTGCGTGTGTGTGACCCCTTCACGCAGCAGGCACTGTACTCACTTCACATCTCTTCGCAGATGGAAACTATTCCAAGTCCCCCGCGGCATGGTATCCAACACGTAGGCACTCTCGACGACAACCGTACAATTGTGACATATGAGGAGTTTAGGGGTACTGCGCTTCCGCCTTTGCTGCGCTTCTGGGTTTACGACACAGGTGCCAAACGTCACATCGAGACACAGACTATTTACTCTCCTCATCGCAGCCGCGTGCTCGCACTGCAAACTGATGGCGTGCGGCGACGCGTTTTCACACTCAGTACGGACACAATGAAGTGCTGGGGTGAGGCTGATGAAGACGCTAACGACGCATACGCCACGGGACAGAAAAGTTGGGTCAACAAATCTTCTTCGGCGACACCATCTCATCTCGTGAAGGACATGATATTATCCGCTGATGTCTCACTGTGTTTCGTCTCGGACGACAATGTGCATGTGTACAGTGCAGTGGACCTCCGTTCAGGGCAGCCGTGGCACCGTGTGCTCGTCCTCACACAGTCGTTCTCACTCGCACCACTGCGAGACTTGCAGCTACTCACAGAGTGCCGCACTGTGGTGGCCCGAGATGAGTCCCGTGTTTACTTCTGGTCGCTGGTGTCACCGCACCGAAATGCCGTTGTCTGGGAGGCGAAGCAGAGTGGTGTGTCGGCTCTTTGCTCGTACGGCGCCACATCGGTGTTGGTGGCGACCAGTGATGGTGACCTCTTGGAGTTGTGCGGTGCGTCTGACAGAGCAGGGACAGAGTTGGGGCACGCCGTGGGTGTCACACCGCATCGTATTGCCCTCATGAAGTGCCTGCCTGGTGCAGATAAGGAGCGTGTGGCGGTGGTAGACGACGTTTCAGGTTTCTGCGTGCTGCACGTTGCGCTCTCAAAGAGCGAGGAGGTGCGTGTGGAGCAGTTTGAGGGGGAAGGCAAGCTGGCGTCGAGCCATCGCGACGATGGTGAGCATCGACAGCAGCTGCGCCACTTCTTCCACGACGTTGCGCACGCTGGCAGGCCGGAGAACGAGGAGGAGGCGGCGCTCAGCAACGCCGTCCGCGCAGCAGAGGCGAAGAAGTGGCTGACGGAGGTTCTGGCGGACGCCGCGTACACGGCGCCGCCCATGAGCTCCGTGCTCTCGTCGTACCTCAAGAGGCGGGCCGGCATCCCGACACTCTGAGAGCACATCCCTCGCTAAGTAACGAAGAATCGTAGCACCGATCGTGGAGGGAAAAAGGAGAGCGACAGGAAAGAAAAAAAAANGAGGAGGAGGAGGAGCGCAAAAACAAAAAAGGGAAATCAGTCGTTTAAGGATATGCAGTTAAAGAGAAGCAGGAAGGCAGAAGAAAATACAGAGGGAAGGGGGAGAGAGAATTCCTTCATTGTTAATGCTCACACTGGTGTATTATGTTTTCACCCATTGCTTGTCTCGTGTGTACTTACTGAGGGGAGCTGCAGACAAGAAATGATTTCCGTGCCTTTATTCTCTGCTCTGTAACTCTAAAGTCCTCTAGTCAAGCTGGAAGACGCAACGGGCGCCTACCTCTGATGCTCCACCCTGTGGCCTCAGAACTTGAAGATGAGGTGCTGCAGGTGTTGCATGACCGCTTAGCCCATTTGAGTTTCTTCGATAGCCTTCGGCGGCGTGTGCCTGCTGTGGGAACCCAGGAGATGCACCCGCAGCGATTGCTCCTTCTCTACATGGTCGTGGTGGGCAGCGACATGCTTGGTGCGGAGTGGCTTGCTGGCGATGGAGACTGCAACGCAGACAAGAAGAATCTGTTGGCGGAGTTGCAACTCTGTTACAGTCCTGGCACAGGGGGGTTTCATCCTGAGCCCGTGCTCGCGTACACTACGAGCGCCACGCTGACCATGACACAGTGTGCTCTTCACGTTTTGAACACCTGTGGCACGCTCCAGAAGGCTTCCTCCGAATGGCTCTGTAAAGACCGGGTCATGTCGTTTGTTTTGTCGTGCCAAGTAGGATACGATTGCAGCCCGCTGGACGTATCGTATCGGGGCGCCTTCAAGGCAGCCCCTGCCATTGCGGAGATAGACCTCCGTTTCAGTTACTCTGCCCTCATCACGATGGCGTTGCTGTGTGCACCACTTCCATTATCCACTATACCGTCCCTTCAGGGAGTCCTAGAGAATGCTGTGGCGTTTATCCAGCGCTGCTGGAACCCACACGAGGGCGGCTTTGGCGCTGTGCCGGGGGCCGAGTCACATGGAGGCATGACGTTCTGCGCGGTGGCCTCCCTGGCCCTCGCCGGCGCGATGTCTTGGCTGACGCGCAGTCGCCGTCATTCACTGCTGCGGTATTGCACCGCCCGCGTGGCGGCGGGCCCTGGCGTGGAGAAGTTTGTGGGAGGTGTTGGGGCAATACCGCCGCCTGTTGGATATCAGGGAAGGCCGCAGAAGGACTGCGATACCTGTTATGCACACTGGATCGGCTCCACTCTCGGCATCCTTCACGCCGATGCCATCGCCCTCGTGGATCCGCTCCCCATCGTGCGGTTCATAAATGCCTGCACCAACTGCAGAAAGGGTGGTATTGCGAAGTGTATTGACATGAGCGCAGACGTGGTTCACTCCTGCCTGGGGCTTTCAGGCCTCCTTCAACACATTCAACCCCTCAACACGCCACTCCTTCGGCCGCCGCACCCGGTGTACGGCTGTTCGTGGGTAACGGCACGCCAAACGGGGCTTCCGAATCTCGTGGATCCCGTGACACCAACTCTATCATCCTTTTATGACGATTCCTGAGGGGGCACATTTTTCTATATTGTGACGCCACGTGCTGTGAAATTTCAATGGCAATACGCCATTGATGTGGCATTTATTTTTTTGTTCGTCCTCCTGTTTCTCCCTATTTATTCATATCCATATGCACGTCCTGGTGTGGATTTATGTGCCCGGTCCTCTTTTTTTTTCCTCTCATCCACGTGGAATGGTGAAGAGAAGCGCTAATGATGGTAATGAATATGCGCCACGTGTTTGCCCTCGCGCTGTGCTTTGCCTGCGCGTGCGTGACTGGTGCTGCGGCGGGGAATGGTGGCGGCGCCGGGGGGTCCTCGTCGCTTCACCCACTGCCGCTGGGGCAGGGAGGTGGTGATACGCTGACTGTGGAAAAAGCAAAAGAGAAGGTGGAAGCGACTCTGCAAGAAATCGAAAAATACTTGAGAGAGGCTGAAGCGGCAGTGACGAAAGTCACCAGTGAATACAACGCAGTTAAGACAGACAAGGACGAGGTGGATAAAATGAAGGAGACTCCAGGTGTGACGAAGGAGGCCGCTGACGCGATCAAAAAGTTCGACAGTGCCTATACAAACATGGGCCACTTTCCTAAGACTGCAGGGCTCAGGATAAACACGATAAAAGAACACCAGACCAGCGTCTCGGTGAAGAAAGGAGAATTGGAGAAATTAACTGAGAGTGTGAGCACTGCTCTTACTGCTGATTTGAAAAAGATAACAGACGACGTAGCCACGTTGAGTGAAAAGGCCAAGAATGAGACGAAGGGCTGTGAGGAATACACGGGAATGGCAGTAGAGCTGCGGGATATTGTCAAGACCGCAAAGGCGGATATCAAAGCAAAGTTCGACGAGATCACCGAACGGATACGCAAGGCTGGCGAGGCTGCCAAGAAGGAAAAGGAACAACGCGACGAAGAGGAACGTAAACAGCGTGAGAAGGCGGCCAAGGAAGAACAAATGAAGGCTGCCAAGGAGAAAGAGGAGCAACAACGTCAGGCTAAGGAAAGGACACTACGAGAAGAGGAGGAAAGCAAGAAGGTTCAGGAGGCTGCTTCTGTGGACGAAGAAACCACAAAGAGGGCAGAGGCAGAGGCAGAGGCAGCGAGTGCACAGATGGCCGGCAGTGCGCTGACGGACGCAGTCGCTGCGCAGGAAATGGACGCTAAGTCGGTGACGGACACCGTAACAACAGTCAAGCAGACCGCTGAACTGAGTGACTTGAGTGACGCGAAGGCTCTGATGCCCGACGGCAGCGGCCGTCCTGTGTGGGTGCGTGCGCCGCTGCTGCTCCTGCTGCTGACTGCACTGGCCTGCGTTGCGGTGTGCTGAGCAGCGCACAACTAAAGGGGGAGGCGGCGCCCCCATTCTAATTGCGTGCAGCCCCGGTGGGGGATACCTCTCGCCAGCTGCTATAAACATTCTTATACCCCTCTTTAATACTTGACTCCGCCCCCCTGCGGGCTCGGCGTTCTAAAGTTGCTCCGCAGTACGACACGGGACGCCCTCGCACACACCGTGTCTGCCGCGGGGCTGTGGGCGTTGTTTTTCTCTCTTAGTTTATGTTTTGTTGGGCTTGGATTTCTTTCGGGGCACTGTGCTCCGCCCCTAATGCTGTGCTCCTGTGGCCGAGCGGTGCCTCCTGCGTGATGCGCTGGGGCGCGGGCGGGCTGCTGTGGTGTTGGCTCCTGTGCTGTGTCCCCCATGGCGCTTCTCTCTTGTTCGCTCTGTGCCGTGCAGGCAGGCGGAGTCGCTGGAGTAGTGACAAGGCAGATGATGCAACGCCACGTGTTTGCCCTCGCGCTGTGCTGTGCCTGCGTGTGCGTGGCGGGTGCTGCTGCTGGGCGCACAGCTGCGGCGGGGAATGGCGGCGGCGCCCGGGGGTCCTCGTCGCTTCGCCCACTGCCGCTGGAGGAGGCAAGTAGTAAGCCGCTGTCTGTGGAAGAGGCAAAACAGAAGGTAAAAGCAGAGGTAACGAAGCTCGAAGAATACTTGAGAAAGGCTGAAGCGGCAGTGGAAAGTATCAGTAGTGAATACAGCACAGTTAAGACAGCCAAGAGCGAGGTGGATAAAATGAGGGAAACAACAGGTGTGGAAAGGGCTGTCGCGGGAGAATTGACCCGGTTTACCATTGCCTTGAATACCATTGATGTTTCACTCCAAACAACAAAGGGAAAAAAAGACATGATAAACACATTTTTGACTGATGCTGCTGTCCTGGACGCTTCTTTGAAACCAGAAAACGTATCGCTTGTTATGGCTAATTGGACCGAGAGGGTCAATGCAGCAATACTTGACTCTGAGGGTGACACGGCGACAGCAGTTGAGCTACGGAAACTTGCAATGACTGCATTGGAGAACATCAAAAAAAAGTTCGACGAGATTACCGAACCGGCGCGAAAGGCAGAAGCGGAAAGGGCTGCCAGGGCAGAAGAACAATTGAAGGCTGCCCAGAAGGAGCAGAAACAACGCGACGAAGCGGAAAGGAGAAGGCTTGAGGAGGTGGAAAGGAAAAAGCGTGAAGAGGCCATCAAGGAAGAACAAATGAGGGCTGCCAAGGAGAAAGAGGAGCAACAACTTGCGCAGGAAGAGGAACAACGTCAGGCTAAGGAAAGGACACTGCGAGAAGAGGAGGAAAGCAAGGAGCTTCAGGAGGCCGCTGCGAAGGAGGCCAGGAAGAGGGCAGACGCAGTCGCTGCGCAGGGAAAGGACGCCAAGTCGGTGGCGGACACCGTAACAACAGACAAGCAGACCGCTGAACTGAGTGACTTGAACACCAAGAAGGCTGTGATGCTCGACGGCAGCGGCCGTCCTGTGTGGGTGCGTGCGCCGCTGCTGCTGTCTGCACTGGCCTGCGTTGCGGTGTGCTGAGCAGCGCACAACTAAAGGGGGAGGCGGCGCCCCCATTCTAATTGCGTGCAGCCCCGGTGGGGGATACCTCTCGCCAGCTGCTATAAACATTCTTATACCCTTCTTTAATACTTGCCTCCGCCCCCCTGTGGGCTCGTCGTTCTAAAGTTGCTCCGCAGTACGGCACGGGGCGTCCTCGCACACACCGTGTCTGCTGTGGAGCTGTGGGCGTTGTTTTTCTCTCTTAGTTTATGTTTTGTTGGGCTTGGATTTCTTTCGGGGCACTGTGCTCCGCCCCTAATGCTGTGCTCCTGTGGCCGAGCGGTGCCTCCTGCGTGATGCGCTGGGGCGCGGGCGGGCTGCTGTGGTGTTGGCTCCTGTGCTGCGTCCCCCATGGTGCTTCTCTCTTGTTCGCTCTGTGCCGTGCATGCATGCAGGCGGAGTCGTTGGAGTAGTGACAAGGCAGATGATGCAACGCCACGTGTTTGCCTTCGCGCTGTGCTGTGCCTGCGTGTGCGTGGCGGGTGCTGCTGTTGCTGGGCACACAGCTGCGGCGGGGAATGGCGGCGGCGCCCGGGGGTCCTCGTCGCTTCGCCCACTGCCGCTGGAGGAGGGTGGTGGTGGTGATTTGGTCGCTGAGCAGAAGATGTGACAACGACGCTGCTAGGAATCGAAAAAAGACTTGAAAAAAGCTGAAGCGGCAGTGGTAAATTTCAGCATCCATTACGAAGCAGTTCAGGTTGCCAAGAACAAGGTGGATAAAATAAAAACGAATACAGGTGCGGCAAAGGCGGCCGCTGAAGCGGTGCGTGAGTTTGCCAATGCCTATATAAACATGGAGTTCTTGCTTAATGCTTCGAACATCAAGATAAAGATGATAAAGCAACATCAGACCAACGTCTCGGTGCGGGAAGAAGAATTGAAGAAATTAGTTGGGAGACGGGACGCTGATCTTACTGCTGCGCAAAAGAAAGCAGACGACGTAACCGAGTCAAGTGCAGAGGTCAAGAAGTACGTGATATGCTGTAAGGACGACGTGAATGCATCTGCTGCGCTGTGGGCCACGGCCATGACCGCAACGAAGAAGATCAAAGCAAAGTTCGGCGAGATTATCGAACCGACACGCAGGGCTGAAGCAGAGATGGCTGCCACGAAGATGAAAGGAAGACGCGTGAGGAGGCGGAAAGGAAGAGGCTTCAGGAGGCAGCTGCGGAGGAGGACGCCAGGAAGAGGGTGGACGCAGAAACAGCGAGTCCACAGAGGGCCGGAAGTGCGCTGACGGACGCCGCAACAGCAGTCGTGGAAAACGCCGCACGGAGTGACTTGAACGACACGAAGGCTCTGATGCTCGACGGCAGCGGCACTGGCCTGCGTTGCAGCTTGCTGAGTCTTCTGCAATTGCATTCAGAGCTCTGATCAAGATTCTCAGGAGCTGTAATAGATTCATTTTTCTATGTTGTTCTTGCGGTGCTTGTCTGGCCCTGCTGTCGTGCAGAGTATCCGCCACAGTACTTATGTCTGCGTTTGTGCTGTTTAGCTGTGGAACCTGATTAGTTTTCTTATCTTATTTTGCTTTGTTTGTTTCTTTTTTGTTGGGTGAACTGCGCGACGGTCTCTGATATATTGCCTGGGGTATTGCGGAGTTCTCCGCAGTGTGCTGGAGTGCTGGGTGTCGTGCTTTTTGATGTGTGCTTGTGTTTGTGTGGGCATCCGCTTCCTGATTTGCTCTGGTTTGGTTTCGGGGTATATATTGCTTTGTCGCATGGCTTGACCAGAGCGAGGCCAGCTGCTGTTTCCTCCTCGCAAAGATCCCAGCTTCTGTTCCACACACACACACACACACACGTCGATGACGTCGGTGCTGCTGCACCTGCTTTCCCCCTTTGACGATGTCGTGCAGGAGATGCGGCTCGCGTACGGGGGGCTGACTTTCGCCGGCCACCGCACCCCGTCCTCGGTGTCGGCGGCGGTTGTGGACGACGTTGTCGCCGCTCACACAGCGGCTGGGCGTTGTGGCGGTGAGCATGCGGCTGTTCTCGTGGGTAAGACTGCGGTCGATCGCCTGCTGCGCCCGCTGTACGGAGCGCCAAGTCATCTTCTTCGCCGCCTGGCGGTCGACGCGCCGGTCGCGCGTTTCAGTGTGTCGGTGGTCGCCTTCAGCGGCGACGCGCTGGACTGCGGCCGTCCCCTCGCGCATCTTCTGCGGCCTGCAGCCGGTGGTGGTGGTGGTGGCGGTGGTGACACTCTGGCGCGGTCACACAAGTGCGTGGTGCCGGTCTGCTCCTCCTCTTCCTATGTGTTTCTTGAGACGGTGGAGGAGCTTGATGCCGTGGTGGCGGCGCTGGTGGCTAGTCCATCGTTCAACGATCACGTCGAACGGTTGTCGCTCCGCGTTTCGCTCGCACAACTGCAGCCGAATGGGTGTGGTGCGCAGTGTGTGTTTTCCTTCTGGTTCATCAACGACCGGCATCTGTGGGCGATGCAGCACCACGAGGGGCTACAGCGAGAGTCTGTGCGTAGTGTGGCGGTTGTGGCGGCTGACGTCGGCGACGCGTGCCGCTACTTGGACAGAGTGAAGTGCTTCAATACAGCAGCGCTGGGCGATGAATTTTGCGGCTTGACGGCGTCGTGTGGTGCCCGCCCCGTACATGAAGAAAACTGGAGTGAACTAGACCTCTCGAGCACGGCAGTGCAGATGCTGCTGGATGTTCTCGAGCCTATCGTTGGAGGTGCGTCGCCTGCTGCTGGCTCAAACGCAACGGTGGGGAAGCGTTTGACCGGAGGTGCGACATCTCTGTAGTTTATGTTGATTGTGAATGTTATTGTGAGTACGTCTCTCCAGCAGATGGTTCTCATGCATTCTTCTCGTTTGTTTTCTGTTGTTGTTTTCCCGAGCTCGGTGTTCTTTGTTTCTCTCTTTCGTCTATGGTCGGTGTCGGAAGAAATGAATATTCTGGTGGCATGCAGGGAGGGTGACTGTAGCGCTGTCTCGGCCATCCTTAAAGCGGCGCAACTCCCCGCGCCCGCCTCTGCGTGTAACGTGGAAGCTGCAGCAGATCTTGTCGTGCAGCATGTATGCACTGCCGTGTGCAGCAGCAGCGAAGGTGTGGCGACTGTGAGGGAAGAGGTGGGCTGGGACATGGTGATGATGGGTGTTGAGGATGTCTTGGTGGGCGATCTGTCTCTGAGTGGTGTGACTCGCCAGATGGTGTCTGCGTCTCTTGCTGACGATGCTGGTGTTGAGGCATCCTTAGTCCTCTTTCAGCCGCACCATGATATTGTGAAGGGTGGCGTCGAAGTCACGGCAAAGCTCTTTCCAGATGCACTGGGGGGCTACGTAGCGATCACCAGTGCCGTGGAGTACGATGCGTTGTTGGATATAGTGAAGGGGAGTGCATCCTTCTGTCATGTCGTCCGCTCCTCGTCGCTTCTGATGCGCCTCATCCTTAGGCGTGGGGGAACGCAGCGTGTGGTGGTGAATGTCTGGTGGGTGCAGGAGGTGCACGCCCGGCAGTTTCTCTTCCCCAGTGGTCGTACCGGCGAGTGGCGGCCATCTCTCTGCGTTTTGGTTCTGGCGGTGCGTGACGCGAAGGTGCTGCAAGAGCGACTTCTCTCTTTTCACATATCCCATGCGGCAATAGACTCCTTTCTGCAGCAGCAGGGATGGGCCCCAATTGAGGGGGGAGAGAGCTTGGCTCTGGCGGTGGGTGATGCGGCCGACCCCGAGGAAGTGGAAGCGGAGCTTCGCGCTGTGAGGCGTGAAATTGGGACCCTCTACACATTTATTCAGCAGGAACGCAAAGGCAGCGCGGCGCTGGAGAAGACACTCGAGGGGCTGCGGGAAACCAGCCGCAGCTTTGCGAAGGAGCAGGAACGTTTGGAGGAGAGGCAGCACGACATCCTGCAGAGCGCGAAGCGCCGGAAGGAAAAGTTCGACGAGCAGCGAAGTCAGGTGGACGCTCTCAACGACACATGTAGCTTGCGCGTGGCTGCTCTCCGCTGCGAGTGCGATAGGGAGCTGCAGCTAGAGATGGTGCGCGCCGATAGCGAGCGTGCTCGCGTCGCGAGGGCGATGAATGAGGAGGTGAGGCATACAGTGCTGCAAGCGGAGCGGATCCGCAGCAATGTGCTGGCCGCCCAGCAGCGGCGAGAACGGCTGCTGGACGACATCGCACGCAGAAGATCGCGGGTGGCAACGCTTGAAGAGGAGGTGCACCTACGTTCTGAGTCGTGCTCCACAGACGACAGTGCACCTCCGCACACGCCAGCAGCAAGCGTGGTGTCCGTGCGCCGCCAAGACGTAGAGGCGGAACTGCGGCGGCTGGACAAGCGGTGGGGGGAGTTGCGGCAGTCGCGCGCCGCGTTGCTTGAGGAAAAACGGGAGCTCGAAGTGATGGGCCGCTGGTGGGCGGAGCAATCATGCGACGGCAACGACACGAGACGCAGTGGCTGTGCATGGGCGAGAGAGACTTGGGAGTTGCGGCAGGCGGCGCTGGTGGGGGAGGAGCGCGCTGCGCGCGAAGCCCTCTGGGCCGTGGAGTCTGCGAATAGGTGCGAGTGCATTGAGCTTGAGCGGCTGCGTGCGCACTGTGCGTGTCGGGTGCCGCTTGCGGAAGGCAGTCGGCAGTCATTGCTACTTGACGCCAAGGAGCAGCGACGGCGCGATGCGATGCTGCGGGAGATCGAACGTTTCACGCGATTGAAGGCGGCAATGCGGCGCGAGATGCGGGCCGTGCAGCTTCAAGGTGTCGACCACGAGAATGCGCTGCGCCAACACTTGGAGGAGCTATCTTCGGAGTCAGCGCGGCTGGAGCGCGAGCGCGACGCATTCGATAATGCGGCGTTATGTAACGGCGTCACAGCCGAGGCGAAGGATGAAGTGGAGTCGTTGCGGTGCACACTCCTCCTCATGGAGGCGTGCGTTGAGGCTCATCTCCCTTTTGATGGTCCATTAGCCACAGTCGCAACAGCAAGTGATTGGCACACCGTCTCGTATGGGGTCATGACGCAGCGGCAACGTGTTCAGGAGGAACTCGCTGCCTTGACAGAGAGGATGCGCCAGCTGCAGGAAAAGTGTGCCGAACTGGAGCAACAGACAACCGCTGAGAAGGACACATTGGAGGCCGTTTCACTTCAAAAGACGGCGCTCAAATGTTATGTCCGTGCACATGCGCAAACTACTTGAAGTATTTGGGTGATTGTGTGTGTCTCTCCTTTCTCTCTCTCTCTCTCTCTCTGCCCCTCTCTCTCTCTCTGGGGTTTTCTCCATGGTGGGCTTTGACTTCTCCCCCTTTATCGTCGACAGGATGTTGTATTTTCCTGCTTTTCACCCGGTTGTGCAGTCAGTGCCGCTGCCCAAAAGAGTCTGTGCCACTTCCCTCACGCGGAGTCGCCATGGAGTACTGATTTCTTTTCGTTCGAGTATGCCTTTTTTTTTTTTT